ATCCCCAGAACCTGTGAATATATTACCTTACATGACAAAAAGGACTCTGCAAATATGATTACATTAAGGATCCTGAAATATGATGATTATCCTAGATTAGCAGGTGGGCCCAATGTGATCACAAGGAGTCCTTATGAAAGGGGTCAGAGTCAGAAAAGGAGAGGTTGGAGAGATGGGATTGCTGGTTTTGAAGATGGAAGAGGGCCATAAGCCAAAGAATGTAGGCAGCCTGTAAAAATTGGAAAAGGCAAGTAAACAGATTCTCCCCTAGATCCTCCAGAAGGAGCAAAGCACTGTAGACACCCTGATTTTAGGACTTCTGACCTCCAGAACTATAAGATAAATTCGTGCTATTAAGTCACCAAGCTTGTGCTAATTTTGTTCCAGCAATAATAGGAAACTAATAGAAGGCAATACTTTCAAATTCTGAGGGAAAGTAATTTTCATCCTAGAAATATATACCAATCAAACAAGAATATATCAATGAAGAATGAGAGCAGAGTTTTTTTTTTTGGCAGCTGGCCAGTATGGAGATCCAAACCCCTTAACCTTGGTGTTACAACAGAGTTTTTTTTTTTGGCAGCTGGCCAGTATGGAGATCCAAACCCCTTAACCTTGGTGTTACAACAAAGGCAGAGTATTTTTAACCTGTAAGAACTCAGATAATTCACTCTCTATGCATGTTTGGCACCAAACTGACAAAGTAAACTGAGATAAAGGAAGACAAGAAAGCCCCAAAGCCTGAAAGCAGCAGCTCCATCCTGGAAGAGCAACAACAAAGTCCTGAGAGCACAACTGTGCACCACTCACGGAGAACCACCAGTTCAGACTGGAAAACCTCACAGAAGGGACGGCACAATTTAAAGTTTGGGAAAAAAAGATCGAGATGATAAAACCAAGCTACAAGGGAAAAAAAGAAAAAAGAGATTTAGAAAACTAAGGAAAAAACAACACAATAAATTAACAGTCCAAACATGAAGCAAACTAAAATACAGCATGATTTTAACAACTGATGGAAGGTAAGAAAGATCTACCAGAACTAGGAACCTGAACTAAACTGGGAATATTCTCCTCTGAGTGGCCTAGGAGCCAGATATCTACCGGTTCCTGCTCCCCTTTAAAACAACATCTCTTGAAAGAGTTGTCTCTACCCAGTGTCTCAAATTCTTATTTCGCACTCTCTCCTGAACCCATTCCAGTCAAGCCTGTATGCCTACCACTCCACCAAACTGTTCACCAAGGTCAAGATGTCCACCCTGTTGCTAAATTAGTCAATTCTCAATCCCCATCTTACTAAACCTACCTGCAGCATTCTCATCTTTCTTTTTTTTTTTTTTTCCTTTTTGTCTCTTTTTTTTGTGACCGGCAACGGATCGCAACCCTCAGTGTCGCGCCCGTACCGGACCGGGACCGGCAACGGGATCGCAACCCTCGGTGTTGCCCCCACACCTCGCTCAACCAGTGAGCGGCCAGTCTGTATGTGGGATCCGAACCCTCGGCGGGAGCGCCGCTACGCTTCCCAAGCGGCGCACTGTAGCAGTGTGCCACATGGCCGGCCCAGCATTCTCATCTTTCATACCATAAAATAAATAAATCAAGAAATAGATATAAACAGGGCCGGCCCGGTGGCGCACTGCTACAGTGTGCCGCTTGGGAGCATGGTGGCGCTC